AAATAAGTAAAAATTAAATATGTTTGAAAAAAAAAATTTATCTTTTTAAATAAATACAAATATTGTATTAACTTTTATAAAAATTTTTATTAATTATTTGAATTAACCTAGTGAAACTATATTTTTAATTGAGTTTAAAACCAATCTTATACTTTTCTATTCTTATTCTAATAAGCTGATTGTTCTACTTGATATACAAATCTTACTTGTTTTGCTACATCTCTTGGTATTCTACACCTTATATATATTAGAGAACATTCAATAAATGATAATAATATGCTAATTTTAACTGGCCAACATTAAAAATAGCTATACAAGTTTTCTGGTGATTGAAACAATTATGAATTGATTCTTTCTAAAGCTAATGTACCAACGAGATCGGTAAGACTTAAAGATGTTTCTTTTTTTCTGATGACAAAACTATTGCTTCTTTATTACAGGTTTCATTTCTATGGACTTCTTCCTTGACTTTTCTTTTTGGTTTACTCTTCGTTAACTCTGAAAATTATTTGTAACTCTTATAAGTTCTTATTAAATTTTAAAATATAGTTTATGATACTATAGGATATCACCATGAAGCCATGGAGTTGGTTACAGATAATAATATTATTTTCGATAGCTTCAGTAATTACCTTTTCAAATATTTGAACATTATTTTCACAAAATATACACCTTTCCAAACTTTTCTAAAAATACACACATGTTATATCTTTGTTTAGGGTCTTTGAATAAATTATTGTATTCTTTTGAAAACCATACGGAACTATTTTCATTTACTTGGCTTACTACTTTGGTACAACTAATATTTTATTTACATACTGTATCTACAATAATATTTTTTCTAATATAAAGGAATCTACAAAAGACAACAACTAGCAATGAATCTAGGGACATTTGATGAATAGTATTTAAAAATGGCTGTATATAATGTTAAGAAATATCAATTAATATATAGTTTAAAAAAATAGTGAAAAAATAAAATTATTTACCTATGAACGGGAGTTTACATTTGGGATAATGAGCCATAATGAAACTCGGAAAAATGGGATAATATAATATTACGGTCGCTTTTGATTCTTGGTTTAATTTCAATGAAGAAACTATTTTGTGATGCAACTGATGAAATAATTGTAATATTTGTTTTATATAATTCAGCTGCGGCGACTAGTGTTAAATGGTCACCCCATGTACCATTTTTTGACATATTGCTACAATAATCTTCCCAACTTGCTTCAGAGACAAAGTTAGAAAGGGTGGCTCCGTTTGGAAGTTTGAAATCTTTATTATTTCTGAGCCATTGTGCAATATTGCTTCTAATTAATCTACTATGGCACAAGTCACCATAGATTTGATCAGAAAGAGAATGTATCTGGCAATTTCCATCGCCTGGGATTTCCCTTCTGACCATCAATGAATATAATTTTATACGTTCCTTTAAACGTATCTCTGCCATTTGAGTTTCATTTAATTTAAGAGGTTGAGTACTTGACAACCCTCTTGTATTGACCAATGGTTGAAATTTTTGATATTGTTGTTGTTGTTGTTGATATTGTTCATTGATTTGTTTTCTTTGTTGTTGATATTGCAGTTGTTGTTGTAATTGTTGTTGTTGTTGTTGTTGTTGACGTTCTTCTTGTTTTCTTGCACAGTTTTGGTCATTAATGGTACAGTAACGGCAGAATTCACCATTAATGGAAGAGCATTGGCAACCTTCGTAATTGTGGGTGTTTTTGTTGAAATTTAATTTACCAAAATAATAAATAATAATGGTACCAACAATAAATAAAAGAACACAAATGAAAAAATAATAATTCATTTTTTTTAAATAAATAATTATTAAAAATAAAATAAAAAAATTAAATAATTATAAAAATAAATAATGTGAATATATCCAAAAAAAAATATATATATTTAAGTTATTTTTAATAAAACCGCAAAAAAAAAAAAATATGATTTAATTTTAATAAATGAAAAAAAAATTTTTATAAATTAAAAAATTTTAATAAATTTAAAAAAAAAAAAAAAAAAAAAAATATAGAAATGTTTATTTTAAAATATATTTTATTTGATTTGATATTTTAGAATAGACTTTAATTTTTTTATAGTTTTAAATTGAGATTTTTAATTTAATCTATATTTTGATTTAAAAATTTCATTAAATGATATCCTGAATACCAAGTTATTTAAAAAAAAGATTTAAATTTTTTTTATTTAAACTTTAATACTTTATAAGTTTAATTCTGTACTAGAATAACTCTCTATTTATAAAAAGATTAATTAATTTATTTTCTTTTTTTTTACTTTTGTTTTAATTTTATTTATTTTTTTTTTATTTATTTTTGATCTTTCATCCCCTATTATTATATTATTTTTTTTGTAATTATGAATAGTTTTATTTTTTAATAATAATCATTTATCTTTAGTTTATACAATTAGTTATCTTTAATATATTAATAAACAAAATTATTAATTACATTATTTTTTTATTTTTTTTTCTAATAAAAAATTAATAAAAAAAGTTTAAAATAATATAAAATAAAACCTTGATAATATTATTATAAAATAAATATTTCAATCATTTATTATATATTATTGGTTTGAAATATATTTAATTATACCTGTTTTTAATATTTATTTTAATTTAAATTTATTCACCCATTTTCCACTGCATATTTAAAAATATATCACTCATTTATAATTAAATATCAATAACACATTTCCTATTTAACAATAAACATCAATCATAAAATTTTATTAATATAATATTAAATAATTAATTTTTTTTTTTTATTATTTTTAAATTATTTTTTTATTATTAAAATTATTATTTTTTATTATTTTAAAATAATTATTTTATTTTTTTTATTAAAAATAATACCCTCCAGCTCACTAATCAACATACCACTCTTTTTGCAAATAATGACTTATTTTTTTCTTTTTTTATGGTTATCTTTATTTAATTCATCACATTTGTTCAATAGAAAAAGATTCGGTATTTTTTGTAAATAATTTTTAATTCAAATAATTGCAATAGTTTTTTTTTATAAAAAATATTTCATCTATCTATTTGATAGTGGTTCAAAGGGGTTATTTTATTTAAGAGATTGGCAAATAATTTAGCTTCATTTAAAGGTGTCAATACATTGGATGCATTAGATCAACAAGCCGATGCCGGATCGAAA